GTGCGAAAGATATGTGTTAGGAAATGTTCTATGGTAAACGTGCACGCGACAAAAACCCACACTGTGAGAATTCCCCATGCGAAAAATATCCAGGCGGATGAAAGCACATGCAGATAAAAGACCTGACTGATAAAAGATCGTATTGATAAAAGCCTACATCAAAATAAGCTCTTGAAATTGTGCAAATTTGACTATATCAGGGAATAGTTTAAAATATGGTAGAGTTTTAGCCATAGTGACAGACAGCATGAACTAGTTAAAAAAGCTTATAATAACACGGTTAGTTAAAAAATTTAAAAAGATGTTTAATATTTTTTTATCATTCTTGTTTTTTAAAAAAAGGAAGGACGAAATATGCGGACAGTTTGATTAAAGTTAATTTTATAACTCTTGACATTTTCAGATCTTTATAATGAATACATTTTTGGTTTTAAGAATTCTAATGTCTCAGAAAATAATGTAATATTATCTATCACAATTAAATTTGCGAAATCAGCTTCTAAACCGAATTTCTCAGAAAAATGCGTATAAAATTATGACATTGAAAAAACTGTAAACGCCAGGGTAGATCTGAAAATAATTTTAAACTCTAATCAATGCTTAAAGTGTTATTTTTTAGCATTGACTAGCGTTTAAAATTATTTTTAAATCAGTGATATCGCCAAGCTGGCGACGGTTTTGGCGACTAATTTTTGACGCCAATTCATGATATTGTAACAATTAGAAACACCACGATAGACCTGAAAATAATTTTAAACCCTAGTAAATGCTTAAAGTGTTATTTTTGAGCATTCACTAACGTTTAAATTTATTTTAAATGCGAGATGTAGCCAAGCTGGCAGTGGTGTTGCAATAAATTCTCAAAAACAGCTGAACTTGGCGACCGTTTGGCTATTTTTTGTTCTGGTTTGTGTATCACTGTAATAGGTATTGTAAATGAACAACAGCAATTGATTTATTCGGACGTCTTAAGCCTTCCAGTAATTACGAGAAACAGAAAATACTAGAAACATCTCTGCTGTCCAGTGAAAACTGTGCAAAGCCGGAGAGAACATCTATTCGCAGTTGTTGTTGTTGGTTATTAGCACAGTGTGAATTCAGAATACTGAGATATCTCCGAATTAGCTTGCTCTTTAGATGCCCTTTGCACTACCTTGTCTTTAACGTTCTTAGTGTAAATACTAAGTTTGAAGTGTAACTACTAATTCTACTCTGTGATATTGTGTTTCAGTATTTCTCTGGAAATTTCCAGAACTCTGAAGTGTTTCCTTCGGTAAAATAAATTTTATCAAGCTCTCACCAGACTTATGTACATTCAATCTATTACGAACCCGAACGCACGCAACAATATATAATTTTTATTTCTAATTATTTATGACGTAGCATACATAAATTATTGACATATATAAAATATTTCAAAGCTGATTAAATGGCAAAATGTATCAATGAATTTTGATAAAAGATATACATAACGAATCATCTTCAAAATAATATGTTTTTCTTTTTTATGTATTTAGAAGATATATTTAAAAATCATTGTTAAGTGATATATGAATTTGAGAATGAAAGATTTTATATAAAATGCGAAAAATAACATTATTAAATATAAATACTGCGGAAGAGATGGAAGTTAGTGTTTTGAAACGAATCAAATTTATAATTTACTATAATGAAAAAGAAAAAAAAAGAAACATACCTAAAGATCTGTAAAATTAATTACATAAATTTCATCTTTCTTCTACGTAGATTCAAAATATAATACAAAACATAAAACGTTTTTACTTTTAATATTAACTTTCTCTATAAAGTTCATTATTCATTTCTTTGCACTTTATTGTTACTTTTCAAGAATTAATCAGTTTTAGGTTTCTATTGCTTCAGTGTTGATTCGAGTTAAATTCCTGTTTATCTAAGAATTCAGTGTCCGATATCCTGGTATGTTACTATTTTCTCTACACTTGGTTCATCTATAATGATTTATCGAAATTTGTAATTGCTGATATTCCTAATTTTGAATAATAGCTAATGATTCCAATTTATAAGTCTCTGCAAATTACTTCCCAGTTTCAGATTCTGTTCATTGCCTAATTAATTAATTTCTGCGTACGCAGTGATCAATCATTTAATCTTCAATGAAGAAAGGTAAATCCTTGAAATGTTTCTTTCCGTTATACTTTGTTTGACCTTCAAGTCATACAACTGCAGTTGCCCTCAAAAATTAATTCATTGAATGTTGTGTTACGGAACTTAAAATATCTCTATAACATAAGAACACCGTTTGATTTGAAAATTGAAAATCTAATGTGCAAAATTTGTTTGATCTTTCCGCTATTAGTAATGAAAATTTATTTTTAAAATACTGCAATTTTTTTTAATTGTTAAATAATTTTAGTTCTGTTTAGAATGTACTAATGTTTCTTGATCAAAGAACTATGTAAACTGTAATACAAGGGTGAAAATAAAGAAACTACAAAACACATTTTAATGGAACTTTTTTCCCCTCCAATATTAGAATTTCCGATTTATTTCGCTGAAGAAACATATTTGTTAGCAAAATCTGTTAGAAGAGTCTTTTAAAAGTCTTTTTAAAGGACTATTATTTGCAAAATTTCTGAATGATAATCTGTATAGTGATTCTCACATAATTAACTGCTGTTACCATTAAATACAATAACATAACGCAATTAGGCCCGCTAGCATTCGAGTGGCAAAGTCGCTGAACACTGGTACTTCTGTCCGATGTTCGAAACCCGCGGTTGGGCTGGCTGTATGGTCGTTTTCGTGGTGTTTCCCATGTGTTACGTTTATACGAGCTGGATTTCCTTGAAAAATCATCCACGGAGATCCCTCCTCTTAGGCAGATACCCCTACTGTGCTTTGCAATAAAACATCCAACCAACCAAATCATAACACTGTTATTCGCGTTCGAGTAGGAATTATAAAGGGAAGAAGAAAATACTTGATTAAAGAACTTTTAATTTTAAAAATGTTTTTAAGATTTACGTTTATATTTATTTTAATTATTCATTTTTTAAAATGTTTGGTAATGTTTGGTGTCTATGCAAGCAATATTCAATATGATGTAAAAGCGCTTTTGTCTGTTGATTCATAGTGAATTAGCAAAAGAAACTGCATGATAAGCAGACACATTTGTCTAAATGTTTGAAGCTTTTGTTTACAAATATTTTGCAGTTTATCTAATGTATTTTAACGAAAGTTAGTCTCAAATTTAGGAGTTAAATATCATGCAAAATACATAAAACGTTTCAGGTAATTGTTTACGAGAGCAAACAAACTCTTAGATAATGTAAGTTTTCAAACATGTCTGAGGTAAAAATTTTCCCTTCTATGTGTTCTGTCATGAATGATGATGTTTATATTATTTCAATAAAGTATTCAATTCCTTCAGAAATTAAGATCAGTTTACGGTAAATATTTAATGGGTAGAATAAAAATTATTTTAACATGTGTAGCATATTTCAGTATTTGTATGATAACAGGAATAATGAAATGAAGTTAGAATTTTAATCTATTCTGTGCAGAGGAACGTCAAAACGAATATATATCCGAAGCTATTTGACGTGATACAGGGCGTAATGTAAGATTAAATTAAGTGATTTATAACATTATATTGAGTATATTTTATTTTTACACTTAAATAATAAACATCTGTGTTTATTGATTGTTAACAAATACAGCGCAGGAATTATTTTATGGAAGTTTTGCCAGAATTATTCTCAAATGAAAGCTAACCTAAAACTGACTCTTCCTGTCCCTACTGTTTCACAAAAACTTTTGTTTTATTTCCTTTATTTATTTTTTTAAGTATTTGAGTTTTGAGAATGATCATGTGGCCCTAGTGTCACAATCACAGGAATCGTTTAGTACATAAAGTTTTTTTTTTCTTATTACGTGCTCCACCCTTAGGCACTACACGGAAAGCGAGGGATGCCCCGTGGAGGTCTTTTTAAGGGAAACTACGCGTATCCACGTTACACATGGGAAAAACTACGAAAACGCCCAAGCAGCCAGCCTGTCCGCCGAAACTGAAAATCCCAGACCGAATTACCAGTGTTCAGCGTCTTTTACCGCTCGGTCGCTGGTGTGCAGATAATGCCTGTTGGGCAGGCAAATATCAGAAAAGGTGGAGAAAACTGAACTGCGATTTATTCTCAACAATTCTGCTTGAAAACATAAATATATATATATCGTTAATGAAGTTTAATTTTTCAATCTTTTAAAATAAAATCTCCTATATAAAAAATCGATATATTTTTTCCCTCACGCATGAGCTCTCTAAGCTTGGAATCGCAGGTCGCGGTTGTAGTTAGCCTCTGATAATATTTAATAACGTGCTGCTTGTGAAATTAAATCGCATTTTCGCACGTGTCGAGCCAGGTGCATAAATTTGGTTTATTTATAGATATTCATATTACTCATTCTTTTGAATGATGTACAGGTTATTCATGCTTTTATATTGCTTTTATGTGCTCATGATTTATGAAATTTATGGTTAAGGAAAGGATGAAATGGTTAGATTTAACCCTTTATTTACGTTTGGTTTAGGTTTTTGTTTCGGTTAAAACTAAGTTGACTTCAAAATGAAAGAAGAACTAACATACTGAAAAGAGACTCAGTAGTCTGCTCAAAGCAACTGACGAAATAAACGAGCTCAGTGAAATTGGATTAATACTTAAAATACATTGATGCTATTTACTAATGCAAAATACTAATTTACTAATCCACCACACATGTATAATTTATTTACGTTATAACTATTCATCCAGTTTGTCTGTTCTTTACGATATAGAAACAAGATCAGCTTCAGATTTTCTAAGTCACAGAAATTTAAATTTATTGACCAGTAATATTAAATAAATTATAACACAACAGTTAATTCTTTCTCCATTTTTAAATCATTTTATGTATGATATTTATAGAATATATTAAAAATTATAACTATTCTGTAATCATTACATTACTTATTTCTATCTCAACAGTTTCTTGCGGTGAGCGAAATCCGGTTGGACCAAGTTTCTCCATTGAACCGCAAGAAAAAGTGCAGTTCTATAACTCCACGGGAGCCGTTGTCACTTGTGCTGCAAATGGCGTTCCTCTTCCGACTGTATCCTGGATTCGTCAGGATGGTTCTCCCGTACAGGAAGTGCCGGAACTTCTGCAGATAAGGCCCGATGCATCTCTGGTTTTTGCTCCCTTCAGGCCCGAAGAGTTCCGACAGGATATCCATTCTGCTACCTATAGATGCACAGCTGCTAACTCTGTTGGGATTATAGGAAGCAGAGATGTCAATGTCCGCGCTGGTAAGTCTATATTTGATTTCATTCTGCGCCGCGAGTATCGCTTAGAATAAAATTCTCTTTTCTGCAGCTAGTAATATTTCGGACGAAGAAATATGCGAATGAAACAACTTGTCTTGCTCATATATAAACATTCTTCATATCCTGTCCTCTTCTGCCTGGTCTTATTTCAGTCTACTTGTACCATGTACATACTTACCCAGTTCTGAGAAAGATTTTGTGCTTTATTTTCTGCGATATCCCATAATTATTCTTAACCCGCGTGAAGGCGCGTGGTGTGTATCATACCTCACTCCTACATAAAAGTGGAATATTCCTAACTTGTGAAACTGAAATTATGTGCGGCATTCAATAGCTGAGTTTTTAGTTGTGGTTGACTTTCAGAACCGCTTTTTCTTTGCCTGTGTGTTTCAGAAAAAAGATTTATCGGTATTTTGTTGGAACTGGGCTATGACACACACCACGCGCCTGTCCGCGTAAGTGTTTTTCTGACTGAATATTTAGTTCAGAAATTTATTTCTAGAGTGTAACAGGAAATATTTCTACTCGCAAGTGATTTTAAAGTACTTGATATTAAATTCTTAAAAATTTCTAACTGCATTATGGTAAAAAGAATGACTCCCCGTGAATTGGTGATGCAACGCATGTGAGATTTATTAGAAATATATTTGAAAGCGATGAAGATTGCATTTCGGAAACTGAAGATGAAACTAGGAATATTTCTACACTGTTTTGGTTTCGAAAAAGATAAAACATTAATTCCTATCTTCCAAAAAAAGGAAAAACTGTTCTTATGCTTCAGCATTATATAACGATCATACTATAGATGATCTATTAGAGAAAATAAAACTAAGGAATTATATGTTTTTATAATATGACTAAAGGAGCAGTGATATAGGGGATGAAATATCAGCCAATTTCAATTGCAGAATAACCAGGAGGTGGCCAAAGGTAATTTTCTTTCCTGCACTGAATGTTGCTGGCAATAAATGCTTGAATTATATTATATTCAACTGCTAATCCACCAACTAGAACAGAAGTCTGTTTTGAAGGACTTAGCATTACAATTAATGAAAAGAGTATTGAACAAAGATCAGGGATTAATACTTATCAGAACTGACGTACTGCATGCAGAACAAAGCAGAAGTTTCGACGAAGATTAAAACGAATACTGAAATTCGAACAACTAAGTGTGAAAGATGTGAAATTGCCCTGCGCCCAAGCAGAAGAACGTGAATGCAATGTTTAAAATGTGAAAACATTCTGTGCCAAAGCACATGAATGTATTTCGTTCAAAGTGTAAAGAAATAAAATAACATTGTGTATAGAGATGCATCAAACTTAGAGGCATGATGCTTATTTTTTTATTGTTTTTCTTTTATCTTATTTTAACTCTAAGATTATTTTGGAAATTAATTTTTTGAAACCCAATTATTATTCACGTATTTATAATACACGAGAACGAGAAAAACAGCTTTAAAACTAAATAAAACTATTTTTATCGTATTTTAAATATTGGGGTATGTGATACCCCACGCACCCACTCTAGTAACATTTCTTGCTGCGACTTCTGCCGGGTTAAAAATATACAGTTGTGAAAATAAATAGTCATATAAAATATTGTACAATCTCATGATAAGAAGTAAGCAAGTAGAGGACGAAACATTTGAAGAATTAGACGAAACATTTTGTCTCAGAGTATAATAATTGATACACAAATATTATCACACCTAAGTTTTAACTAAAGACTGGTATTCATCAAGAAAGTGACATCTGAGATACATCAGACACTGCGGCAAATTATTTTAATAACTCGGTATTGAAAAATCTCGTGATCTGCATATTTATGATCAAGAAAATTTCTTAAAAAGATAACGAAATTCTGATTTCTAGAGCATTCCGTATATGTTTGCTGCTATAATCTAATTGTCTAAAGCCTAATATGTTTGTCTTGAAAATTGCATTAATTTGAATGATGATAATCCAGTAATTTCAACAGCATGCATTTAGTATATCTTTTTCTATATAGGCTATTTCGTTTTAAAAGATTTAATTCAATGCTTATATTAGTGATTTTCAAAATTAAATTAATTGTACATTTAGTCAATTATATCTGGAATAGACAGATATTAGTTAAAATTTCATGTAGACATAAGTTGATTTAATAGAAAAATGTGTGATACAGCAGTCGTGGTGAATACATGTGATAGGGAGTAAAGGTCATAGGATTAAGATGGTTTAAACAGAGACTGGAAGACAAAACGAAAATAAAACTAATAAAGAATATTATCCCGTCTTAAATATCATTACCTCTGACAACATGATTTTATACTGAGGCAATTTATCCGTCCTACGGGGTTTTCTTTTCTTGGAGGGATCTGGGAGGAGAAAGGCGACCTGCAGTTGCCCATCCAAAAACGTGAAGGACATAATGTTCTGACTTTAGGTTTAACTGTTTTGGATTTTTGGACGTAGGTCTGAAGATCTGGATCACCAATCCATTCAGTAAATCTTTCAACTTTTCAAAATCCCGTCTAACAAGTGCTTATTGCAATCTTTCTAGGAGTCGCAGAGTCTCTGACATAAAAACCTCTGCTGCGGTCCAACGTGAGTCCTGCCCAGACCATCAGAACTCCGCTTTCATACTGATTTCTCCCTCGGATACTGGAGGGCAGATAGCGAGTCCTTAGCTCAGTCCATGCGATGTCACATGTAGATGGTTCCGATGAAATGGAACTCATTTGCGAAAAATCCCACTAATATTTGATCCAATGTTGATTGTCCCTGTATCATGTTAAAGATTTATACTCTTTTATACGTAGATGCGAGAAGAGATCAAACAGAACAGATTTCCTTTCATACAAATGAGATCTTAGAACCCTAATTTTCCTTTTTTAAGGTGCAGTTCACCCTCATTTTTTTTTATGGGTGACAGGGCTCGTCCCTATAAGGTAAAGTTTTGCATTATTTTCTAGGATATCAACGGGAAGATTGTGTCATGGCGTGAAATTCAGAAATGTAGAATATTAGTGGTACGATCTTGGAAGTACAACTGCAATTCGCCTTCATCTTTCCAGAGCTTTCCAGGACATGTAAATAACATTGCTGTAAGAAACAAACACACCATCATATTTACTCATAAACTATGTTGTTTCCAGTAGGATGTTAACACTGTTAGAACTGTGTGACTCTTCGAAAAGACCTTACAAACTATTATCCTAATTTTGTGTTCTCTCTTGCATGCTTGCTTTTAGATCTTCCAGTGTCGATGAGCCACACGCGAAATTATGCGTGTATATCTTGGCAGCTGTATTGCAGGTGGTTTTGTATTATATCAACCCATGTTCAGACCATGTTTCATTAAAATCCTCCAAGCAGTTTTGAAGATAATCGAAAAAATGCGAAATATCTCTTAATATTGAATTACAGTGTATATCTAGGTCATCCAAACTGTCTCTCTTCAGCTTGCAGTTGGTTGTTTATCTGTTTTTTTTATAATTATCTGCATGCTATAGATCTATTATTACTATTTTTTTATATTTTTCTTTCAAAAAAAGCAATACGCTGTCACCACATTCTCCTCCTTCTCCAACGAAAGTAGCTTACGCTTCCAAGGAAGATAAGCGACTTTGCTAAATAAATATATACATTCCAAAATATATAAAAAATTCAGGTATTTATATACGGTAAACTTCAATTTTACAAAATTTAAATTTAATTATAATTTGGAATATAGATTTGTTTTGAAAAAAACATTCAAGGATAATCCTCATACATCTGAAACTTAGTAGAAGACTTTTTAAGATACTTTGTATCTATATAATACTTGAAGGGAATCATGAATTTGCTGAACCGTTAGTCTTTTCTGCGACAAGGAACAAAAAACAAATTAACCGTCAGTGCTTGATGGTTTTGTAATCTACGTGGCTGCTAATGTCTGTAAATTTGGGAAGAATGATGATTAAAAAATTTACTGTTAAGAGGTAACATTCGTCAGTTTTAAAATCCTATATCATAATATAATACAATTATTTTGCTACTGTATTCAATGTTCATCGTACAGATTGAGCTTAAAATCTTTCTCTGGGTTAAAATATTTATTGTACAGATTGGACGCTGAGCTCAAATATAAGGTGGTTGGGAAATGTCGTCAACCATTACAAAGTATACAGCATGTATACTTCTACGTGCTCACCATTTGCAGTGAGGAAGAATTTCAACGATATTTAGTTTCTTGCAGAGAGTAAGATAATGTCTTATTATTCATCATCATAGGATCACTGTCCCCTTGATTTCTGCATACTTGATATTTTTAACAGTTTCAGGATTACGTCCATATTCTTTTCTGATTGTTTTTAGAATATAGCCTGCTGCTTTAATGACACCACAGAACACAGAACACTTGACCTTCATTGATGCTATGTCAGAACAGATGATCGCAGCACTAGCTGCAGTGAAACAAAACGGTACTCAATGAGCTATATAACTTTATAATATTATTTGTTCTGTTAAATTTTTCTTATCGTAAAAAACCTAGAACTACTTAGGTTTCAGAACTTCTAACCATGTAAAATATGGTTAGCTACATCTGAACCACAGGTTTCAGAAGAAGTTCATCGAGAATCCTCATTTTAGGTTCTTTGTAGTTTTTTTATAAACTGTCTTTGTAAGCTTTTATAATATTAAAGAAATACGAAATCATAAAATATTTGTCCATACAATTTTCTTTTATTGACTTTCCGGCCCAAAAGATGGGTAAAATTTATCCATTAACTTTATATTTTGAATCGAAATCAGCAATAATATTTCAAAATGAATTGGATTTCTCATAAGCTTGAATTTACGATGCTGCTCATTATCATGTTCTTTGCTCAGTTAACTATTTTTTTTCCGGAACATTTATTGATAACCGTTTAGAATACTTTTAGACAATCTGTGTAGAATCAGGTTAGAATTTTTATTAATATATCTAATTTCTCAAGGAGCTCTGAATTTATATTTTG